AAAGTGTATGCAAAGTATAAAGATTAATGTCATAGAACTACAAAACAGAAAGAAGCTGCATACTAAGTCACATAAATATCATGAAGTAAATAAATTGCAATCAGTTTTTAGGATAGTTCAATTTGTAGCAATACTACCATTATAGAATGAAGCTTATACCATTAGAAAGATTCTTCATACTAAGTGGACAACTGCTCAATCTTCCATCCCCCTTAGTGACTTTTCCAAATAATGCATACCAATGAGTACCAAATATAACTATTATTTGCTACTTGAATATTTAAATTTCAAAGTACACAGAAGTTATTGTCATGATGGGAGTGAGCATTAGAGCAGAGAGGGTAGATCATCCCACACTCAAGTATGGTAGCATCTCTTTCCAATAATGCTCTCGGACTTTCACAATGCACTTTGATAAAACAAAATGTATTTCCAAAATAAGAAAACTTATCAAAGACATATCTGCTTAGACAAAAAAGACAATAGTAATACATAAGTGTATTTTTTCTGTGTTGTTTTTTTCTTTGTTTAAAAGCTACAACCACACTTGCTTAGATAAAAAGACATTAATAATACATGATTTATCAAATGTCTTTTTTCTAATTATGCGCGGCGATGGAGATGGCTGTAATACATGTCAAAAAATTAAGCCTTGAGTAATGCCAAATGACAGCCTCTTAAAAGATTGACTCTCAAATTTTATATTAAAGAAAAACATTGCGTGTTTGAGATTTATTTGGAAAGAGAATCGTTATGAACATCATAGTGTTTAGCTACTTTTAAAACAAACATATGGACTAATCAAGCTTCCTCTTGATGCATAGAGCTTTTTATATGGTGTTCGTTAAACTCTGATAATTATATCTATGTTGTCCAAAAATTAAAAGCACTAAAGAAAGATATGTTATCCACAAGCACTACAGAAAGATTAGCAGAGAAGTAAGGAGTTTTTAGTAGCACATATAAAGTAGTAAGTAATCAATTCGAGAAATAACAAAGCATGACAATTATCAAATACTAATGTCACATATTAGTAAGTAAATACCTCGCTTGGTAGTAGTAAACTGCGCACTATCAATTATTAGTGCGTGAATTAGGAAAACACCAATGACTGTTAAAGCGCTGCACATTCAATAGATCGTTTGAGAATAGGGCATCAATCCTTGAAGAAAAAAGAACAAAACTATGTTACTCGTAACATCTGCTGCATAGATCTCTCTAACATGCCCTAGCTGAGCCCTTCTTCTTCAGAGAAGAAAGAACCTAATACCATAGATGATAAAGGAAAGTACCTTAAAATGAGCAATAAAAAAGGCGCATTGCATGTTGATACCCTATTCCCAGAAATTCATACGGCATGATTGAGTACAGATAACC